CAAGTCCATGCTACCCGAATTTCGTGACCTGAAATTCCGACTTCAACATAATGACTTGGGATTCCTTTACAAGCACTCCTGGCGTTCTGGCTCAATAACCTGCGTCTACGGATGCGAAACAACAGAGGATGCCGAACATTTATTCTGGGACTGTCCGTATGCTCAACGCGCATGGCAGTATTAACTTGCACCGTTTGAAGACATCAAAAGCAAGCTACACTGGCAAGATATCATGTTTACCGATTCAATCAGCATCAACGCGGAACACAAGACAACCTTCCAGGACAGCTTCCTTTTCCTTATGCACTTCATCCAGGCGAATTGCCTCCGAAGGCTCTGGGTTCAACGCAACCTCCTTTACGATGAAGCCTTTCCAGACACGCTGGCACTGAACGCTGAGATTCAAGCATACCTATGGCTGCACATACAAGCTCATATCAAACGTATCGACGGACCCGACATACAGAAATTCAACAGTTTTTGTTCACTACTGCTAAACGGCGGTACACCATACCAAGCCTTTCTCCCAGACGCTGTTACCCCAACCGACCCGCCTGGCACAACCCCAACTCAACACAACCATATGCCCGTTCGACATGGTCAACAACACAACCGGCCGCCTCAAACAATCTCATCCAGCTACCACGTCACCGCCCGTGCCCACGTACTTGCCGTTTTCACTCCATCACAACGGACAACAATCAAGCCACTTCGACTTAGACGAGTTACGCTCAACATCCCTTTGCCTACTTCAAGTCCAAGCTTCATAAGGTCAGTTTCTAACTTGCATTTTTGCCGACCATACCCCTGACAACAATGACCACCGTCTTCGACACGACTCCAGAAGCAACCAGAAGTCAGCGTATTTTTTGCTTAAATTTTGGGTAAAATAACGCCGCAGAAGCTGCCGCTTCCGCGATCGGGTCCACCAAGTCAAAGCATTTACACTTCAACTCAAAGAAAACAACCTCAGCAACCGGTCAGCGCGTCCGCCAACCCATTGTGTCAACAGTTGCGCCTCCGATACCAAGACACACCATCAACTACGAACTGTGGCGCGTAAGGCACGTTTGAAGAATATATAGCTACTGCACAGTAGTTGCCTCTCGGCGGTTTCAAGCAAGCCCCCTTTTTCGACGAACAGCAGTCACCCACTCTCGGCTTCCGTCGACTCAAGTCACCACTTCATCGTCGATAGACAGTCACCTGCCAATTGCTTCCATCAAACAAGCGGCATCAATCAGCAGCACCGCGATTGCTCACAATACTACCAAGATACCGCCCCCATGGATGCACATACTCAAGATCCAGCAGATGCCGCAGTCCTCCCACAGCCCTGCGAAAGGCACAAGAAGAATCAACTGCTGAAGCTTGGGCCTCACCAGTCACCAGACGTGCACACGCCAATACCTCTCGGCTAGCATGCTTCCATCAGCGTCTTGCCCCCAGAAGAACAATCAAGCCCTCTTCCAAGTTGTCCGGCGTCTCCACACACCCTACGCTCCACCGGACCGTTCTGCCACGCACTTGGAAGAAGACACTTAGTTGAATGCGCTCAAATCTCCCCAAACCCCCAAGGAAGTGTGAGATACTCACAACCCTGCGGGCACACGCTACGCAGGCCGAATCGTAACTAACCGCCAATGAACAAAACGTGCGCCGTCGTCTGCCGGGGCGGACCCCGATGTTTGTGGCGCGCCCGACCTTTCCCGCCTTCGATATCGGCCGCCAACTGCACCACCAACTTGCCCAACACGCTGACTTGGCCGGACCAACAATTCCACGCGAAGCAGGCCGAATCGCGGCTGACCGTCAATGAACAAAACGTGCGCCGTCGTCTGTCGGGGCGGACCCCAAAGTTTGGGGTCCGCCCGACCTTTCCCGCCGGTGCTATCGACTGCCAACTGCGCTCAAAGTCGCCCAGGCCGTTTTTTCAGAAATGCGCCCAGCCTCTCAACTGACACAAGAACTTCCAATCCCCTCCCGTCCCGTCTTTTCCCACGACGCACGCCACCACCTCCTCTCATTGGGCAACTATCTTCTCCCCTACCCCACCCAGTTTCTGATAGGCGCGCGATTTATTTCGTCCCCTTCCCCTACTTCGGCAAACTGCCTATCAGGCTTCCAACAAAATAATTTATCGAGATAATAATTGCAATATCAAGATAAAAATTATCTATTTTCGGAAGCATCCTCAACCAATAATCTATTTTTGACCTTTCAAGATAAAAATAACCTATCTATTTTCATGGAATTATTGATTTCATTATCCATTCAGCGCGATGCAAATCAAAAGCAAGGACTTGGTCAACTTCTACTACACTCAAGTGGCGAAAAACAGCTACAAGTGCAAGGTGTGCGGCCTGGTTCGTAAGAAGGAGCCATGTGCGGGCTACACCAACTTGCTCAGTCACCTCGAAAGCAAGCACAAGGACTTCCGTACCGACTACGTCGATGACCAAAGTTCACAGCCTGGTACATTAGCTGGGTATGGGTTCATCGACGCCAAAACGAAGAATGTTTACGAGTGGGTCCGTTA